CCTAATGACTATGAGAATCATGAGACCAGCAATAGAAGAGCTTGAAATCAATGATGGAGTTAAAACATCATACGTTTGCTTTAGACTCTCACTATAAACATTTACACGAAAAGTAGGAATAATACAAGACCAATTTGTTATATGTGCACTCTAGATGCAATGTTGAATCTGGCTTTCAATTAATTTAGACATACTTCTGATTTAAGCCTCACCCAAGCTTGATTCTTGCCGAATTAAGGTAGAAACAGATAACTTTTTCAAATAACATAATGGCTTCACTGCACACCCCTAGTAAATTGTATAATAGAATATACAAATGGCTTTAGAAATCTAAATATTTTTTGTTCAATTTCCATTTAATTGAAAATAAACACTAGTCTACAACAAACTCTCTCACAAATTAAGTTTGTCAGTCTTTCTGGAGCGGATCACATAATATGCTCTTGCATTCAATTGTTTGTCAATGTACAAATGTGTTACATGATGGTCTTTTTAGCGTCTCACAGCGCCTCATTTTTAAGAAAAGTAAAAGTCCACCAATTATTGCATTTACTGCAAGTAAATAAATGTAATGATGCCAAATGAGATTAATATGAATTTGTGTAAACTAAATGAACACTTAATTTCACACAATATTAATTTAAACTTGAATTAAAAAATAACTGAAACCATAAAACACAGAAAAAAATGTTCCAAAGGAGAAAGAAAGTCATATGGATTTTGAACAACATGAGGCTGATTTAACGATAACAGTATTTTCATTTTTGGGTGAACTAATCCTTGAATTACAGATGAAGCTGAGTCATTTGAGGGATTTAACCATATGTTCAAAATTCGCACTGTGTACTTTCCTTTATTTAAAGGAAATCTGATGAGTGGGTGGAAAATAAACAGCCTCCCACTCAGCTTGGCAGCCGGTATCGCCCTCCCAGCTGATTCATAATCAAGTGCACACATACATTCACTCAGCCCTATAAAACAGATGAATCCCTTCTGTTACATTCTACTGTGAATATTGTCGCCATCAGCACAGGGCAAAGAAGGTTTCACTTGGTGAAGGTGGAAAATAAATGAGTAGATTATGCACCTTCCCTTTCGCAAGATGGATAAAGAGCTGCTGTGCTTAAGCGCAAGCCTATTTGTCCGTTATGTAAGTTACCAAGTCAGGAACATGCTGTTAGATGCTTTCTGCAAATGTGATTTTGAAGCTTTTTTTTTGTCTTTTTGTTAACAGTCGCTCGTGACTCTTGACTTTTCTACTTTTATTTGTCTCTGCTGTCACACACACATGATTAATTTCAGTACAAAAAGCATTCATTAAGAGGTAGGAACAATGCGTTTCACCTTGGACACTGTAACAGCAATGAAAGGGAAATTAAACAGAAGCTAGCACATGGAGATCTTGGATAGTTTAATATACTACAGAAAACCACTGCTTCCGTCTGAATAAGATTTTAACTTTTTAAAGCCACATTCCCCCAATGGCTTTTTTATAGCTGATTAAGAACTTTTAATTAGGCCCTCTAACTTCAGAATATTTCTCTCATTTTAAAGGAACTACAAATGGCACTGAAGTGCCATTGCATAGGGTAGTAAATGTAGAAGTAAGGGTAAAAGTCATTTATTTCTTCAATTATAGGAGTGGGATATTTAATTTTCTTTTAAAAGAGACTGTACAATAGGAAGCAGAGAAAAGGATCTACTTTATATGAAGTGTCTTTAACCACTCTGCACTAACATTTACATAATTTGATGCATTGTGCTTATTGTGTGCATCCATGTTTTTACCTTGTGATTATATTTAATAAAAATACAAAAAATACATTTATTGATTGATTGATTCATTCATTCATTCATTTATTTTCATTCATACATATGCAGTAGTTAAATACGCCTAATAGGCATAAAGTGGAACCAAAACAACTAATCTATGGAGAATAATTATCAAAATTGTTGGATACAATATATTGGCAATACTTGTGACTGGATTTTAGTTCATTAATGTTTACTGTGTATATCAGCCTTGAGAAAACAGAAATCGAATTGATTCATTGCCCTAGTTGAAAAACAAGAATATTTGGGCTCGAAATATACTTAAGTGCCCATACTGTTGCAATTCAAAATGTGTCAAAACACAATTCAATATGCTGCATTTTTAGCAAGGGATGCCATTTTGTGTAATAGCGAATTGTTCATCTACAATTAGTTTTGTCTTTCAGGATAATTACTGTCATGGAGAAGCAATAGTTTCAGAATAATCTTGCCGAATCGCACTTCTTTAAAATGTCAGCATGTTGTAGCTATGTGAATGCCAACATAATGCCGATTTAATAGAACAGACGATTGAAACTCTATTAACCTATTAACCCCTTAAGTGCTGAAATTTGTTGCCACCAACTATATACATTTACAATGTGTTAATCAGCATAAGCATCAGCATCAGCATTTGCAGAAAGTTTCTGACCTTAATCTGTTATGTTTATGATACATAGTCCAGCACAGTCCTGATTCAACCTTTCCCATCATGCACCTCTGTTATGTTTCACGTATAGAGAGCTCTTATCAAACTCTGCCTCAGTCACTCTTGGCTGAACATAGAGAATAGACATACGGGAGCAGAGTTTTAATTGGCGGTGATGTGACACTGCAGAAATAAAGCCAACAGGATTTGTAAAGTGGAGTTGCATTTCTCCAGCTTTCAAAAACAGATGTCCTTGTTGGAAAGATGCACCTGGATGATAGGATAGTTACAGGAGTGGACAGTTCTTTAGAATGCAAATATAACTAATTTATAAGAAGCAAATAGAAAAAGAAAGAGATATCTTGATGGAATATGCAAATTAGTGCATGGTAAACAATGTGCAATTAATAAACACAGCTAAAAAAAATTAAAACAAAACAAACGTCTCTAGGTTACGTATGTAACCAGCTCACTGAGCCCCGAAGCACCGAGGTGGCAGGGGTATCATTGAACCTCCCTGAGGGCACTGAGGCGAGAGAGAGAGCCGCGGATCCCTCCGCTAAATCCACCCGCGATCCCCACGACAACAGTCTGCTCTGTGCCTCGGCAACAGCGGGACTGCTGCCAGCGGGATCGCGAGCCTGGCCGCTGTCATCAAACGCAGCCAGGCGAGAGCGGAGCATACGCAGCGAGAGCTCGCAGTGATGACAATCAGCTGCTCGAAGCTGACCGTGCATGCTTCGCTCCTAAACAAACGACACACAAATCGTGTGTATCCCCCGCCGCCAGATATCGTGGGCAGGGAGAAACACAGCGTTTGTAATGCCGTTCACTCGCCATAGACTTTCTCATTGTTATATATATATGAGTGCTTGTGCGGACAGACAACAGTAAATAGACAGACACATACACAGAGCGCTACTGAAGGGCAGAAGCTGGTTTGCGCCCGGCCGGATGTGCTTTTATGCTTTCTGGTGCTTACGTCACCCTGCTCGTGACGTCTCGCTGCTCCATTGGACGGATTTGACACGTGCTTCAGAACGCGGTCATGCAAGGGCGTTCCCAAAGCGACTCGACGCAGCTCGAGTTCCTGAAGGGGAACCAAAATTATTTAACTAAAATTAATTGAATATTCAAAAAGTGTTGAGGACAAATGTATGTTATAATATATAATATAATATACATAAATATTTGTGTTTACGTAATAGTTACACAAGATTATTTCAAATCAGACACTTATTGTGATATAGGGGTGCAGCAAAATAACATTTGAATGCCTTCGGGGAGATTGCTATATTGCAGTCATGCATGAATTTTAGAAATGATGTTCCTTGCTAGTAAACCGACATGATCTTGATGTTATCTAATCCTTATAAAATCCATTATGTATGAATAAAGGAACAAACTGGTTCTGTATTAAAAATGAAATCTCAACAAAACATGTTTCAGATTAGACCTCTGTGAAATGAGCTTGAGGAAATTAGCCATTTGGATCAAAAAATGCATACACAGTGGAGAGAACTGCAATGTATAATTAGGCATAACATTCAGCAATGCAGTGATCTTACCCTGCTATAAAGATCTTACTTCAAAATAAATATCAAAATAATAATATTCAACATATAGTAGCTGCAAGCAGTAATTACACGTTATAACTCTGAATAGTTGGTAGTCACCATTTATGTGGTATTCTTGGGACATTATGACAAGGATACCTATTGATTTCCCTTATCTGGCACACCTGATTCAAATCATCAGCTCATTAGAGACTGTAAGACCTGAAATGGTTGTGTCAGTAAATGGAAACAGTAAACAGAGACATACAAATGTGAGCCTTTAGGACAGGTTTAGAAAGCACTGCTGTTTAGTGTCCAAATGCAAACCATTATTGAAATGGTATTTATGGCAAGCTCATTATCTGAAGAGTGATGCTGAAGAGCAAATGTGGAAGCAAAAACTGTACAATACATTTTGAGGGGCTATAGAATCCCCATCCAGAAATGGTGGAAACATAGAAAACGAACAGATATAATATGTTCCCCCTTTCATTTTCCTCATATATCTCTCTTCCTTATGCACACAACCCAGATAAACCTAATAGTCTCTTTATTGTAGTGTGCTATTAATTAGACAACTAGTCCAACTTTTAAAATGTCTTTATGTTTGCAATGGAGCAAGATGAGATTAGGGAAAAGGGAGTGAGACAGCACTTTAAATAAAAGCAGTGCTATTAATAGGGTCAGACAAACCCAAGGTGACAGGCATCAGGGAGGGGGTGTTAGCCACAGCTGGAGACAGAACAAGATGACAGGAGTGAGACAGGGAAGTGAGACAGAGAGAGACTAGAATTTGGTGAAGTTTTGAAGAGCAGCCCTCATGCAGCTATAATAATGGCAGGTGAGGACAGCTTGATAAAATGAGAGAGAAAAGGGTTTTAAAGCTTAAAATATCTGGCATTAGTCACTTCAAGCAAGTGTGATGTAAAGAGTTCTGCAACCATAACAATCAACTGGAGATAAGAGGTTCTCTGGGTACTCACATGTTGAAGAGGTTCAGGCCAATACGATATAGGCGTTTTCGCATGACGTCAGTGGAGAGGGTAGGAGATTTGCAACTGGTTGGGTTTTCGCAGTGGTATCGGGGCAAGCTAAGAATCATGGCCTGTAAAGCCTCTTTGGACGAGACCTCAGAAGCCGATTGAGCTGATGTGGATGTACTGCTGCTACTCATCTGCTCTGAGCTGTTGTCCGCTGTGTCTGACTCAATTCGCTTAGCTTCCAAAACCTCTACAATTGGGGTGACTGGCGTCTCTGCAACCTCTGGTGGAGACAAGGTTTCAGAGGTTATTGCTGTCTCTACCGGAATTGCTGGTTCTGGAACTTCCTGTTTCTCCAAGACCAGAGGTGGAAGATCCTCCCCAAGCTCCTCCTCACTTGGTGGAGGAGCTGGGAAATCGCCATCTGGTATTTCCTCAGCATCCTGGTCTAGGGGTGGAGGAGCTGGATCCTGTGGAGATGGTGGTGGTTGTCCTTGTTGAGGTTGTTCCTTTGCATCACTGACCGGAGGTTGCTGTGGGCTCTCAGTAATTATGGCCCCCTGCTGGACACAATTACCGAGAGAAACAGAGGTGGAGGACTCCATAACGGAAGAGGACATGTGAAAGTTCTTATTGTCAATTTGAACTGTCACATCCCGGAAGGCCATCATCAGCTTGCTGGCACTCCGGGCCACGTTCTCAGAATTGTCTACTTGGCCTGTTCCGCTATGGAATGTGGCAGGGTCCATGGGACCACCTTCTCGAACTGTTCCTGCCAACCCAGATTTGCCACCAGCTGTACTAAAGGCCTCTGAGCTAAACTGGTAGGTGCCACCTTCTTGGAGTGAACACATGGTCTTCATGCTCCAGTTACTAAGTGCATCATCAATGGATTTGGCAAGAGACTGGACTTGCTCATTGAAGGAATCTTCGAGGTCAGTGAGGGAGCCACCTACCGTCGTGGGCAAGGATGGGGACCGGACAAGGGGGATACTTGCCAGATTGCAGCCTTCAGCCAGCGCCCGTTCAGCTGAGATACCCTCTGTATTTTGCACCCGCACTTTTCGCAGGGAGATACGGCGTGGCAAACGACTTTCGAGGAGGGAGTTTCGGATCTTCTCAAAGTTTTTGCTGAGCTGATACTGGCGAAAAGCCGTCTGGATCTTGCAAGCAGCACGGCGTGAGATGAGGTGGCCCCCATATTTGTGCTCTAACATTTCGATCTGCGAAGAAAGAGATATGAAACAAGGTCAGATAAGGCAACATTATGACAAGCACAGACAAATATCCACAGTAAGAGATGACAGCATGAAATTAAATCAATAACAAGACTTACTACAGATTGCTAAATATCATGACATGCTGAGACAAACCAATTGTCAAGTCCCCGACTGCCTTTCATGCAGAGACACTTAATAAAATTTGCCAATAAATGCCAATACATTGTATACAACAGTGAAAGCAATTACCCCACAGTAAAAAAAGAAACACTGAAGTACATGTATTAAACTGTGCATTAACAGTTGTGTTAATTAGACTGCATTTATGGTTTAGGCGTTAAAAAAAAACAGTTTCACTCACTCCAAACATTCTTTTTTAATAAACTTTTGATTAAATAATTTGTGGACATAGGAGGTGAAAATATAGTCAAGACAGCCAAACTGTGATAGGACCTTGCAAAACAAGAATAACCCGTATTGTAGTGCATGAGAACTTTGTCTAGACATTTACACAGCCAAAACTTTGATATTGCTACACACACACCCTTTAGATTTTTTCATAGCTTGTGTCTTTACAAAAAGGACAGTCTCTGGGAACTGTTTGGCTCAAAATCCAAAGGTAAATCACCCTCAACTAACACTTTCAGAAATTATTAGATTTTGAGTACCCAATGGTCAGTAAGAACAGATTTGCCTGTGCGTGCCATCTTCTATCCATCCATCTTTTTTGCCGAATCGTTTGTTCTAAATAGGGTTGTAGGGATGCTGGAACCTATCCCATCCTCTCGGGCCATAGGGTGGCCATCACAGTGCCTGTTAAACTGAAATGACAGAGTGCGGCATGCAACATGCTATTTACACAGTACACATTTCCTGCTATTAGAGGCACATTAGGCACTGTCATCTTTTCCAATCATTTGGTTCTCTATGCCACTATTCATTGTCTAATAGACTATGCTATCTAAAGCAGTTGCAAGATGGCAAATGACATATAATATTTTTTTTTATTAGATTGATATATATATATATATACTTTCCTGCTTGTTCCAGCCCTTCCAGCCTATTATACCTTTAAAAACTACAAGATAATGTCAAAAATTGAGTTTGGAACTTTGCATATGGCTGCTAATGTACAGTAGATGCACATTTGTTCATCACAGCCAGATGAAGGCATTACTGTATGGTCTCTAGACAATTTATGAGGAATTCTGATTTGATACGTTTCCATCTGTAGCCCCGACATTACCTTCCAAACTGACAAGAGTAATAATTTGTTCTGTCAGTTATGGATTCTTTCTAGAAAGTGAATGCAAGGCCCCCAGCTGATATCTGAAGCTGAATTTCACCTGCTAGTCTTCTATTGTGCTCCCATCAGCTGTCAGTGGTCTTGTCCTTTCCTGGGTGAGCTCAGATTAGAGGTCATTAAAGTCCTGCCGTTTCAAACATTGTGATAAGAGAGAGTGAGCTGATGCAATCAGTCATTGTTACGGATTCAAACTCCCTGAGAGAAGCTTGAATAACACCGAAAAGCCATCTTATCTTAGTAATCTACATTTTTCTCAGACTAGGTTAGAAAGGAGATATATGTCTGGGGAATATTACGTTTTGAATAGGGTCTGGGCTCTGAGCTACAGAGTTTCTTATCAGAAGAGGCTTGAGCTGGGAATGCTACTGCTAGTTCACAACCTGCCTTGAATATTCATTGTTTTACCCAGAATGTTCCATTGGTGCAGACATACACCATTGGACACTCTATTTAAAAGTAAATATGAGCCTTAAAAGAAAGAAACCGGCTGTAAGCCTCACACCTGGAACCTTATCAATAGCAAGGGATGAAATAGCAGTGGTGGCCTTGGACACAAGATGGAATTTCAAAAAGAATTCTAGAGTTGACAAGGATGTCTTTTTTTTATTCTCATACACTACATGTGCCTTGAAATATGAGAGTGGATAAATCAAGGATGTCGCCACTGTTTCACACAGCAGATCTATGTGACATTCAGCGCTATTTATTTTCTGGGCTTTTCGAAAGGTAAAAGAGATAAATGACAGTAAGGTTGAAACACAATGAGATGACCTACAGAGAAGATACGGAGACAAATTCGATTTCTGGGATCACAAAACCACTAAGATAGCTGTGATCTCTATAACCCTGAGGTGTGGTAAAAACACCAGGTACGCAACAGAGCAGGGGCATGAAAGAGGGTGAGAGCAAAAGACAAAGAAACATGAAGGCATGTAACGAATGCAGTCCTGCTGCAAATCCACCCATTAGCCAGCTGTCAGGTCTGTTTCCGATCACTTCACTAAGCGGCGCCGGGGAGAGAGATCATTCCGGAACCACTGCAGCCGTAAAGGAAGGGGGTATAGCAATGACACCACTCCCTATCAACTCAGCCCAGGCAAATCAGACTTGACAGCTGGATCAGCACTCTGTCCAAGCTCACTTCTTCACCACCCCAGCAAAAAATGACATATCATGCATATCCAAACAAGACAGGCTTACATAAACTACACAAGAAAGGTGATGGAGGTGAGTGTTAAACAGAAATCCTACCCCGTTGTCAAAAAACCTACTTAGTCTCAGCCCTCGGACCATTGGCTGAACGTCTAATGCATATGGCACATACAGTTGGAAACACTTCAGGAGTTTTGAAGTCATCATCCGATTGGTTGAATTCAACTGAATTTCCAGGATACATGTGTATCATGTTCTGTAACCTTCCCTCTGGAAACAAAGATGCCGTGGCGCCAAACCCCCTCATAGAGGAACAAAGCCGTTGTGTTTACAACTGTGATGATGAGTACTTATCAGCATCAACTAAACGCTAGATTTCTAAAGGGACATTTCCATGCCCCTAAACATGACACAGCACAAAACGAAACATGACTGGTTGCTTTATGGCCTCTTGGGTAGTCCTTAGCCATTCAAAGCGGCCAAGGTTCCCAGACCTTCTGCTGTTACTCTGAAGGTCTGGCTATGTGAGACTAAAAACCCCCTATATGATTCCCCAGACTAAAAGTTTATGGGGTTTTCTGATCAAGTTGATATTTAGGAGCAACACAGAGATGATTTTCAGTGAATGTGTATGTATGTCAAACAGCTGCCTGTTGTATTTGTACTGTCCAACTGTGACTGTGTAAAGATGTGAGTATACATTTTGCATGGGACATACTATTAAAAGGGCACCTGCTAGAAAACGTTGCTCTGTATATGCAATCTCATTGGCTCAATTGATCATAGCTGCTTTTTGTCACATCATATTTGGTGCTTGACATTAGTCTCTCATTTGCATTGATTTGTGTCTCAAGGATACATGTATATTTATGAGGCCATCAGCATAAGACAGGATAATCAAAGGTCTCATTGGGAGGTTAGGCACACCTTCATTAGCATAAAGAGGCAATCACACAGAAGAGGTGCTGTAGTAGTTATCTGTGGAGCCATCAGCCTCTGAGAGATCGTGTCTAGAGTCACTAAAGCCAGATTATCAGCACTCAGACACCCTCTGAGGGAGCTGACTTTGCTGACAGTGGATCACGGCTCATAGCATTTAGCTTAGCATTTCAGCCTTGTCAGTCAGGATAGTTCTTAAAGGATAGAAAGTATAGCGATATATGCACACCTGTGACTGCACATCATTGGAATTCCTAAAAGATGTTCCAGTGTTGCTTGGCAATTTAACAATTGACAATTACGGTTCATTAACGTTATGTTGGAACTACTGTAATTATGAGATTTTAACTTGCAAAAAGCATCCAAATCGCAAGTATATTTCGTGAACTCAGCTTAGAGCCATAATGGAATACTTACACTAAGTATAATTATGGATATTATTTATATCAAATCATACTACTGATTATTATACAACAGTTCGTTCTGATTCTCAAATCTGATTGGTTGAGAACCGTGAGATATTGTACTGGTATCGCTACAGGAACGCCCTTTCACAATTTTTTATCACTCCGCTTGTTCTAGCCGGGTCTATGTTTAATTTTATTATTCACTGAGCTAATCGTAGAGTATGTTAGTTAATATAAGAAGAAACGTCTAGCTTCGCGGTCTCTCTCTCTCTCATTTGGATGCACGTCTTGCCGCATTGTTTCTCTCTTATAACCTCATTATTTCTCACTAATAACCTAACTGAAGCAGCACATGCCCTTGATACGAATTCTAAAAGTGACGTATGTTTAACTGTCAACTTGAGCTTTGAATCCGTGGCGGAAGGAAGTAGTTCCTCAAAAAAGAGGGTTTTATTAGGCACTCCGTTGTTTCTTGTTTAATTACACACGGTCCGTCGAACTGTTCAACCTTCCGGCACTCGGCTTGCGGCCTCGTGCCTCTGGCCTAATCACAGCCATGCTGATATAGAGCCGGTATCGCTCTCGTACTCGAGTGATATTGCTCATATAAAATCAATAAGGATATGTCGATATTAAATTAATTAATAATATTCATTTTATCCAATAATCATTCACTGAAGACTACAATTTTTGCCATTGTGAGAGATAACAAAAATGTGACAAAAATAAATATTGTATACATATTTGTATTGTTTTTGTACCAAAATACTGATAATCACTTGTATTATTCTTATTTATTTCTGAAGGTTGAAATTTAGCATACAATGAAAATTCTACTTAAAAAGTTAAAATTAGACACATACCAAGAATGAGTAAAGATCCTGAAAAGGTTTGATTTGCCCATTTTTCTAATTATTCATCTCAGGCTGTAAAAATATATATATATAACCAAGAGCGGGAACACAGGATAAGATCTATTTTCACTGCTTTCAACATCCATGTCATGTCATCAAATTTGCTAATCCACTTTTTTTTCAAACATCAGCAGTTCAGAGATGAGAGTGTAAGTAAACACATCAAACTTTCCTGCGTGTCGCTGCTCGGAAAGTCTGTCAGAAAGTTTTGCAAAGGGGATTCGGATTAGTTCAATTTATAAAACGGTAGGCTGAGATATGGACCCATTTCTCATGAATACCCAT